TTGGTTTCCTAGTAGGCACTTGGTGATAAGCCTTAGTAGTCACAAAGGATGGAGATGTGGGTGCTGGGGGTGGTGTGGTGCCGATGGACACAGAACCCCACAAGCCCTGCAAGACTGGAAGACAGGCTTCCCCTGGGCCCCTCAGTTTAAGATGCTTAAGGGACAAAGCAGTAGCAAAACACCCTGCTATGTCGGTAGGTTGGGAGTGTTCACAGTTACGTTTATAGGCCTGACACACATGGCAGTTTAGGCCCACAGAACAGTAAAGATCCACTCAGCTCCCAGCCAGTGTTGGTTGCTTCCTGAAAGTGGCAGGTGGTGCCTGGCCCTGTCCCTCAGAAAGAAAGGCCTTACGTCTGGGCCCTTCCTTTCTTCCCTGAGACAGGGTCTCACTCTATAGTTCAGGCTGGCCTTGAACTCTCTACGTAGCCCAGATTGGCCTCGAACTCGTAGTCCTCTTGCCTTAGCCTCCCGAGTGCTAGGATTACAGGCCACTGGACCTGGGCACCTGGGATCTTTATGAAGGGATGGGGCAATGTGGGGTCGGGGGAGCTGTCTTCACCATAAAGGCTCTCACCTTAGGAAGGTCCCAGGCCCACAGGACGAGCTGCCACCATGCACATCCGGGCAGGAGAGAAGCCTGATAGCCCAGTAGGTATAAGAGGAACCCCACCGAGGTAGCCTGGGGCCCAAAAGAGTCCCAGTGCTCTGAAGCAAAGCTCACCTGGCCCTGCCAGCGAGTGCGCCGAGGCTGTTTCCTGGTCTGCAGCACCCGTGGTCGTGTCCACAGGACAGCTGTGGTGACTAAGTAAACTGGATGTGAAGCTGGCAGCCAGTCCAGGGCTTCAGGGTGTGGTTGGTGAAAGCGATGTTCCTGGCCCTCCTGAGGTGGTCAGTGGCAGTCACAGTCCTGGGCCTTGGGGCACAGCCCGGACAGGTCTGGTGCTGGGCTTCCAGGTGTGGTCAGTTCTTTAGGCATGGCCTGCTCCGAGGAGCTGCCGCCGTGGGGTAGTGGAGGCGCGGTCCTGGAAGCTTGGCTTTCTGCCCTTTCCCGCCCAGTGGTTCCAGCTGAAGGGACCCTTCCAGGAAGGCAGTGACGGGGACATCTCGGTCTTTCCTGCAGCCCACAGTCAGTTCTCCAGGGAAAGCAAAAGGGGCTCCCCCTAGGCAATCCCCAAAGGCTGAAGGGTCAAGCGTGCTTGAAATGTCACACGGAGTTGTTGTGATGCTCAGGCGCCCTGGAAGCAGGTCCCCGTGCCCTGGTTTATGGACGAGGGGCTGAGCTTCAGGGGTACAGGCGATGGCTCAGGACCTCCTTCCTCCTCAGGGCAGGAAGGAGGAGGAGGGGCCACACCTTGACTGCAGTAGCAGAGGAGGGCTCTTTTGGGGGAGGATAAATTCACTTTAGATTAAACATGGGATTTCTTCCCCTTATAAAAATACCCTGTGGTCCTCATGGGAATTTTTAGCCTAACTTGTCCGAGCTGTCATGTGGCTTTGGACTTCATTATGGACGTGGTGCAGTTTCCGCAGTGTCCTCATCCTCCAGGCAGGAGTGTCTCAGATGTGGGGTGTCCCTGCATCGGGAGTGCTGCATCCCCTCAGCTTGGGAGGCCTCTGTTTGCTCACTCATGTGGACAAGCAGACTTTCTAGGCTTGGGTGAGAGGCCAAGATCTCCAGAGCACATGGCCCAGCCTGCTCAGGTCCTTGCTGGGCCCGGCAGCTCTGCCCACACCATCACCGTGCTCCGCGTACAGCTGGCATGTCCCTGCTGTCCTTTCATCTGGGCTTCTGTTCTCTCAGTGTCTGACCAGGTGATTATTTGAAAATAAAGTCAGTAGGGGCAGGGGGAGTAGCCTTCGTAGCTGACATCAGATCCTCTTAGTATAAGCACAGTCTTCATGCTGGACATGGTGGCACATCTGCAATCCCAGCACTCGGGAGGCTGAGGCAGGAGGATTGCTGCAATTTTGAGGAGGCCAGTCTGGGCTGCCTAGTGAAACCCCTGTGTCAAAAAAACAAAAAAGAAGGCAGTCTTTGGTAGGGAGACCGCCACTGTGGGTGCTGGTACAGGTGGCTCCTGAGGGCGTGGCCAGCTCCCCTGGCTCAGCCTGGCTAGGGAGGCAGAGCAGAAAACAGCCTACAAGATGAGGCTGGAGCTTCTGTGCTCTGGACTTGGGGAAAGGCCCTGGTGTGGACAGAAGACAAAGGGTGAGGACAAGGATGCCGGGAACTTCGTGTAGCTTTATCAGTCTCCCTGTTACCCACAAGTCAAAGTAAATTTCACTGTTTAACTTCTCATTTTTAAAAAAGCTTTGCTCATCTTCCTGCGCATTCTTTGTCTTGATAGTCCAGCCCATGGATACTTTCGTCATTGTAAACACTCTACTGTGTTCATTTTTTAAATAATTGGCTTTAAAAAATTTCCAAGGTAGGGGCTGGGGATTTAGCTCAGTGGCACAGCGCCTGCCTGGCAAGCCCAAGGTTGTGAGTTCGATTCCTGGTACCAGAGAAAAACCAAAAATAAATAAATAAATAAATAAATAAATAAATAAACATTTCCAAGGTCTCTGGCTGGTTTCTTTCTTATGACTATACATTCTTGTTTCACAAGGGCCTATTCCTCCATGCCCATTTGTGTCTGAGATGTTACCTGTGTGTGCTAAAGTCCTCTTCTGCTTGAGCTCCAGCAGTGTCCCTGTGGGGTGCTGAGCTTGGTTTGCCGAGTGCCTTGACCTCCACACTCGGGGTGCGAACCTCAATGGGTGATTCTCAGTAGTCTAATATGGAAACTCCCTCTAGTTTTGTTCAAAGCCTCTGGTTTTAGGAGGGAAGCCCCCCAGAAGAGAGGAGGGTAGGTGAGAAGTGCTTAGACAGTGTGGACTCATGGGCGTGGCCATGACTCCAGACTCTACCTGCACCCAAGGCCTAGGGCAGCTGCAGGCCACCAGGGGAGGGGGCGTTCCACATGCCCTGCCCCCAGCTTTGCTCAAGTGGCCTCTTCCACTGAGGTCCAGGCCCCTTTGTGAGCACCACCCTGGCCCCTGACCACCCTTTCCTCCCCCGTGCCTGCCAGTCCTGGCTCTGTCCAGAAGGTACCCATTTCCCCACATTTGGGCCTCAGCTCTCCTGCTGGGCTTGGGGGCTGTCTGCCAGATGCCCCACTCCCACATCCTAGTGTAGGCATGGCTATGACAGGTGGCACAAGGCCTCCAGAGCTGGTCCTGCCCGTGTGAGCCCCTCCACATAGGGCTCGTGATCCCCGCACAGTGCCTGAAAATGCTCGAGATGTCCCCTGCACCAGCATAGGTCCCAGGGTGGCCACGGGAAGAGCAGCCATGCCACCTGTGCTGGCCAAGGTGGACCTGCAGCACTCTCAGAAACAAAGTGGGTTCCAGACATGGTGTCTGGGCATCGTCTGTGGCCGGGGCATAGCTCAGCCCAACACGGAAGCCGGCCCTGGGAGAGGGCTGTGGCCGTCAGCAAACTGGGGTATGGGCCACGGACACCCGGTGTTACGCGGTGCCGAGACGTGGTAAGACCCAAGTGTGCTGACTCACGAGGCAGGCGGCGTACGGAGCAGCACGTGAGTCACGTGGAAGAGGTTGGGAAACTGCTCTGGCAGAGGGCCCTGGTCACGAGCTGCCCTTCACAAGACACTACGAGAAAAGACGGGCTGAGACATGTCCAGGCTTCCAGGCTGGACGAAAAGGCATCCAGAAGACCGGGAACAAGGGCGCCACTGAGTGTGTGTTTCTCGGCACCCCCAGCAGCACACACAGAGCCAGGGTGACGGGCTGGCATCGGGGACGGCGCCCTGATAGCACCCCTCTGCTGTGGTGGTGACGGCTGGGGTCACATCTGAGCTCCCGGCTCGTGGTGCTGGAACCAAGATCTGGGAGCCACCACGGGCCAGGATCCCCGCTTGTGATTACCCACTCCTGGAGCAACCCGGGCAGGAGGGGCTTCCGTGGCAAGGAGAAGGTGGCACAAGGATGGCTGCGCGGGACGGGGCCCCTGGCGGGATCGAGACCAGACGGCACTAACCCACCCTTCCATAGTGTCACTGCAGCCATCCCCTCCCTGTCCCCTGCTGGGTATGGGGGGTAGGGACCTTCCGATTCCCACCCCTGCTCCCACCCCAGTGCTGAGGCAGAGATCATGAACCATTACGCAGAGGTCCCCCAACCCCGGCCTCAAGCTCTCAGCCACGACTGAGGCGTTGGGCTGCCTTGGGGTAGGGGTGCTTCCTGAGCAGGAAGGTGGGTGAAGGGACATTTGGCGATGCGGCAGGGGACTCAGGCCACCGTGTATGGAGTGGCTGGGTCTGGCCAGTGGATTGGGAAAGATGTGTCACCCTCAGGCCATGGTGCTCAGGAGGGAGACTGTAGAGTGCTGTGCAGTCCCAGAGGGTGGCCCTGCTCCCTGCCTGAGCCCTTGGAGGGCTGTGAGGGGCACCCAACCCCGTGAATACAGAGCCACCCCTTGTCACGAACCCTGTCTACCCCGTAGCCTGCCCTGGTGAATGTTCCACAGCCCACACTCAGCCCCTCCTCGTACGCAGCATAGGGTGAGACTACCACCTGGGCTGAGGTTTGGCCTACATCTCAGAGGTCAAGTCCACAGCAAGGTTGTGACAAGCAGTGCTCTCCACTGGGGCTGGATGCAGGCCTTGTGCATGCTCGTAGGCACTCTACCCAAATTACATTCCCAGCCCTGTTTCCTTTGAGACAGGGTCTCACTAAGTTGTCCTGGCAAGGTGGACTACAGGGATGGGCCAAAGAGCCCAGCTGACAAGTGGCCTCTTTGAAGGTGCCCAGGAGGCCATGCTCAGGCCCAGGGGTGGCCAAGAGTTTGAGGAGAGCAGGGAGACCTGCTGATGGCCTCCTGGCCTCCCCTCCCCTGGGGTAGGGCCTGCACATCAAGGGTGACTGGCTGCGACCAGGACTGGGCAGACGGGCAGGTGTAGAGGGCAGGCATGGGGATGGACAGGCGGAGGTCAGGTCTGCAGAGTGGAGGTTTAATGGGACAGTCCCCTTGGTGCCCCGTGCAGGGGTCCCAGGCTGGAGCCCCCAGCCTGGTACCTCCTCCAGTGGGCGGGGCCCTGATAGCACCAGCACCACCTTCCCTGGGTGGCTGCACTGCCGCCTGGCAGCCTCCAGGACAGACCATCTGGCCTCGGCTGCCCCGAGGGCTTGGACATCAGACTTCTAACATGTGGAAGGCCCTCTCCAGGGATGCCCATCCTTTCCTTCTGTCCCTGGCCCATGCTGAGGGAGCATCTGTGTCCTTGTCCCTCTGCCAGGGCCCAACAGACTGCCAAGCCCAGAGGCAGGGCTCTTGGGGAGGTGCGCTTCGGGAACAGTGCGGCCTGGGCCTCCGGCAGACGTAAGGCACAGTGTGACGGCTGCCGAGGGACGGGCTGCTGTGGCTGTGGTCTCCAGGGCAGCGGCCGGCAGGTGCTGGCATCCAGGGCTAGGCACAGCTGACAGTGTTGAGACGGGAGGTGTGGCAGGTGCTGGCCAGCCCGGGGCCTGCAGTGCAACAGAGCTGGGGTGGGGTGGCCCAGCTGCGAGGGCCTCTGCTGGACACAGGGTCTGTCTCCCCGAGCCCTGGCCCAGGAGGGCCCACAGCAGGGGCTCACGGGCCCGGGCGGAGCTCGTGGCCAGAGCCGAGGCACAGTCATGGCGGCCCGGGCCACAGAAGGCACAATCGTGGTGTCTGGGAGGTCGAATGTCGGCCCACCATCAGGGCTAGGCAGACACATTGACGTCCCTGAGAGAGATGGCGCTACTGGGGGCCTCATCCCCGAGCAGCAGTGCTGGCGAGTCCGAGTCCCTGTCTGCGCCCGCACTGACCGGCTCTGCACTGGGGTCTGTGCTGGGCTCTGCGCTGGGACCCAGACCCTGGGACAGGATCTGCTGGATAGTTCTGCGCAGGTTGGGGTGCAGCCGGCCCTGCGTCTGGTAGAAGACCTCCAGTGCAAAGGACTTGAGGGCGCCGGTGCAGAGGTCCTCATACAGCGGGATGGTGTACATGCGTGACATCTGCGGGTTGGGGGCCTGGTTACGCACAGCCTCCCCGGCCTTCCGTGCCTGCCCTCATGCAGCTGCCCAGCCCGGATGCACACGGCTGCAGGGCCCGCCATTAGCCTGCTCCTAGCAACCCCTCTGAGCCACCTCCAGAGGGCCCATCTCCGGGAAATCTGGGTGGGAGGGGCACAGGACTATGCCCAAGCCAGGTCCCAGGCAGGAGGCCGTACCTGGCTCTCTAGGAAGCGCCGGACCCTGTGGAGGTCGGGGTAGTAGTAGTTGCGGACAACAATCTGCAGCCAGCGAATGCGGATCTCGGCGTTCATGGAGTCCAGCAGGGACGAGTAGCACTTGGACAGGCTCATCACCACCTCTGTGGGGCAGCAGGCAGGTCAGGGCTGGGCCAGCACCATGTTCCCCTCAGGGCCACCCTGTGGGCTGTGTGACCCACCCTGGGGCAGCGGAGACCCGTCCAGAAGCCGGTCTAGGAAGAGCGCAGTCTGGAAGGTCCTCCACTTGGAGATGTCGATGGCACTGGCTAAGGCAGCCGCCTGGTCCAGGGGCTCTGCAGTCCACAGCTGGAACAGGGCCTCCACGGGCCGGGTCAGGCTCGACCCCTGAGACAGGTCCGGCTCGGCCAGCGGGGGGCCCGTGGCATTGAGCCAGCGCTCAAACTCCAGCCCTGCAGGGAGAGGTGGTCCTGGCTGGCAGCTCTGGTTCCAGGGCCCGGGGCCACAGGGGCCTGAGTTTCAGCGCTCTGGGGTCAGATCCAGCCAGCGTCTGCCACTTGGAGCCACTGGAGGGGCTCTTGGGAAGGACACAGGGGAGCCAGGGGGGTGGGCTGGTGACCTAGGGGTCCCTACCCCTCATTCTTTCCTGGCTGTGAGGACCCTGACCCCAACCTTGTGTGTGCGTGGGGGGAGTGACACACACAAAGATATTCCTGCTCTCAGTGGGAACACCTGACAGATATAGGTACAGATTCTGCCACCTCCTGAGATGCCTACGTACCTTCTAAACCCGAGGTGCCATGCCCAGACCTCCCAGCCCCACCTCACTGTTTACATTCCAGTGAGGTGGTTTCTCCCAGGCGTGGGGCCCGACCCCCAAGCCCTCGGCACCCAGAGAGGCCCTCAGGAGTGTCACATGAGCAGGGCCAGCAGGCTGTAGCCAGCTCCGGGGCAAAGCTGTCTACCTGGTGATCTGGCCCCAGGCCCTTTGCACACTGTCCCCACCGTCCTCCTCTGCTGCCTGAGATACTTGACCTGCTCAGCAAGCAAAGGCCCCCACTGGGCTGGGCGCTGTCCTCTGCCAGGCTAGGGCCCACAGGGTCCGGCCAGGTTTGGCTGAAGAGCAGGTGCAGGAGAGGACCCTCCTCCAGGGACAGCAGGAATCTAGGCAGCAGAGGCCCTCATTGTGCACCAGGCGGGGCTGGCCTCACCTGCCCGGCAGTCCACACTCTGCTCCTTCAGCTCCGGGAAGAAGCTCAGGAAGGAGTCCAGGAGGTCCTGGGCCACCACGCTGGTGAACTTGTACTTCTCCACATAGGCCTGTGAGACAGGGGCAGGGCCTCAGCCGGCCGGATGCTGGCACCCTCACCCCGCAGGCCCTGCTGCAGGGCCCAGACGAGGTGGGAGAGGGAGGAGGGGCACCCCAGCAGGCTGGGTCTGAGCTGGGCTCCTGGGCCCCCCACCCCCGGAGAGAAGGGCAGGAGACCACGGGGCCGTGTGCTCACTCGGAGAAATTCATCAAAGCGCTGGGGGTCTCCGCAGAGCTGCGACAGGTAGTACACGAAGCAGTAGCCCTTCTCGTAGGTGAAGAGGTTCATCAGGTGGCTGGGGTTCACTCCTGTTGGGAAACACCCTGTTTGCCTCCCCCAGAGCCCTACGTCCTGCAGGGTGGCCCAACCGGGGAGCAGGCAGGGTGAAGGGCCTCTGTCCCCACACAGCTGCATGAGCAGTGACCTGCGAGCCAGCTGGCGGTGCTCAGAGGGGGGCCGCAAGGCAGCAGCAGCAAGTCTGTGACACCTGGCTGGGGATACCCACACTGGCCTTGACAGGATTGGGCCAAGGTGGGGGCAGAGTCCCCGCCAGAGCAGCCAACAGGCCAGGTGGCCCTGAAGGTGATGCCCAGGGTGGCCTAGGGCACAGGGTACCTGGCTCCAGCTTGACCTGCAGCTTGCTGACAGGGCTGTCCTCCCCAAGAAGCCTCATCTGCCTGTGCAGGGCGTCCAGGCGGAAGGCCGTCTCCAGACAGGTGAAAGCAGCACCTGCGTGGGGGTTGGGTGAGGGGAGCTGGGCCGGGAGCCCAGTGTCCCCCGGATGGCTGGACCACGCTCTGTGCCCCTTGTGGTCCTGGACGGCCCCGCCCAGCTGTACCGTAGGTCTCCGTGGTGATGCGGCGCTGCGCGTAGGTGGCCAGGCCCTCACTCAGCCACATCTCCTCCCACGTGGCATTGGTGACGGCATTGCCGAACCAGCTGTGGGCCACCTCGTGGATGACGTCGATGACCAGGAACTCGTCACTCTCCAGGATGGAGGAGATGATGAAAGTGAGGCAGGGGTTCTCCATGGCCACGATGGGGAAGGAGGGCGGCAGGAAGACGATGTCGTACCTGTGCCCGTGGGCGCGGGTGGGGCGAGGGCGGGAGTCTGGCAGGCTGACACTCCACCCGCACCCGCTCCCTCCCCGGGGCCGCAGCCTCACCCTCCAATGAGTATCACTTCCTCCCCACGAGATGGGGCACAGGGAACATGGGGGGGGGTCAGACAGGCTCCCTGTGGCCCCCTCCTCCTCGGAGGGAGGGACACGCCCTCTGGCCCCTTGGGCAGCCGGCCAGGGCTGCCTGCAGACAATGGTACCTGCCCCACATGTACGGCCCATACAGCCGCTCAGCCGCGCTCAGCCACTCCTCCACGGCGCCTGACAGCTTGTTGGTGGCTGTGGGCAGGAGGCACGGCTCGGCCCACACGCGGCTCCTGCCACAGGGAGAGGGAGGGCTGTGGATGACAGGCCGGCCGTTCTCCCCCCACCAGGCCTTCTCCCACCTCATCCAGCCTGGCTGCCTGCCCCTGCCCATCACCCCAATGGGGCCATGCTGGCCCTTCCCACAGCAGGGAGAGTTGTGCTCTGGATGGACTCTGTCCACTTGGCCTCTGGGCTGCAAGGGCTCAGAAGTGAAGGGCAGCCAACAGTGGTGGCACTGGGCCGGGCAGGGACCCTGGCAGTGGCCACAGGCGGGCAGGGCTGGTCCCTGCAGGAGGCATCCTGGGCAGGACAGCTACGCGGGGCCCCAAGGCAGGGCCGCCAGGCAGCCCCAGCAGATGCAGGAGGCCTTACCTGGGCCCGATGTCTGCTGGCTTGAGGTCTCCGGCCACAAGGGCCACGAGGTAGGCGGGCACGGGGTGCTCCATGTGGAAGCGGTAGACACCCTCTTCCTCCACGTACGTGCTCTGGGTGGCGCTCATCAGCACCTGCACCCCTGAGGGGGCCTGCAAGGGGCAGGGCTGAGGCCTAGAAGGTAGGCGCCACCTCCAGGGGCACGGCACCCCATGCTCCCATGCCCCAGCCCCACACCCCTAGCAGGACCTCCAAAACTCAGATCAGGGAGTTCCAGGCCCCATCAGATGAGAATCTTTCACCCAGTCAAAGAGCCCCAGATGAAGCCCCAGACTCCCAGGCTCTGGAGGACCAGGAGACCCACTGTCAGGTCTCCCCTGCTCCCCACAGGCCTCATCATGGTCCTGGACCCTAGCCCTGGCAGGCCTGGCAGGCAGTGGGGGGCCCTCCTGGCAGAGTAGCTGTCCTCGGGGTGGCAGGGAGAGGCAGGTGTGGCCGCTGACCTTAACCACAGCAGAGTAGGTGCACTTGACGGCGGGCGTGTCGAAGCAGGGAAAGAAGGAGCGGTTGCACACTGAGTGGCCCTGGGTGAAGACGAAGGGCTTGGCATTGCCGTAGGTCAGCTCTGGGTCCAGCCACCAGATCTGCGGGCAGGGAGGGGCCAGCACATGGTCACCTGGCTCAGGGCTCAGGGCTCAGGGAGGAGCCAGCACGTGGTTACCTCAGGGCTCTCAGCCTGGAGCCTGGGGCAGCAGTAAGAGAAAGGCCGGCGGGATCTGGGAGGGATGCTGGCCTGCCTGTCCTGTGGGGCTCATCACGCCCCTCAGCTGCCCCTGTCCTCCCTGCCTGCCTGGCATCCTGCGGGTGCACGGCAAGGACTGCTGACCCAGACTATGGCCTGGGCTAGCACCAGGGCCAGCCCAAGGCATCTTCCAGCCAGGCTGGGGAGAAAAGGAAAATGCCCATCATGGCGCTATCTGAGGCTCTAAAGAGAAACTGAGGCACAGGCAGAACACACCGGATGCACAGTTGCACAGGCTGCAGCCAATCTCAGCCAGAAAGGGAGCCAGGAGCAGGGAAATGTGGGAACCAGAGCTTCAAGTGAGTCAGCCCAAGCCCCGGCCAACCTCCAGCTGGGAGGAGCAGACAGGAGCAGCATGGGAGGTGCTGCAGCCAGAGGCTGCCACGGGGCCTGGTGGCCTGCGGTGCCCCTGGCAGCAGCTGCCTGCCCACTCACGTGCCCAGCCAGCCCCTGACCCAAGCCATGACGGCTGAGCCTCTTTGTGCCCCAGATGTCAGGCTAGGCCCCACCCTCACCGAGGACCAGAAGCCATGTCCCTGCCCACCCTGCTCTCTGCCAGGATGACATGATTGTTGAAGCAAACCAATCTGTTCCTGACCATTCTGGTGACCAGGTGCACATAGGACACAGAGGGAAGTTGCCCTCAGCACTCCCAGCCCCCTCCCAAAGTGGGTAAGTCTCAATAAAGGCTGACTACCACCAGGAGGCAGCAGAGCCAGGGTCAGTAAGCTGCCATGTGGGGGCCCCAGGCCCAGGGGCCACCTCCCCATAGATCCTCCACCCAGGGGGATCCCAGACCCAGGCCTCGCCTGCACACCTCTTGAGACGCCCGCCAGTGTTCATGGAGCTCTTCCAAACTTCCTGTTGGCTGCCCAGTCCCTGTCCCCTGACCACAACGGGCCCACAAATGTGCCTCTCTTTTCTGCAGGCCACAGGACTGCCTGGGGAGCTTCTTCCCAAATACAGCCCCCTGGCGACCCCAGCACACTAGGCTCCGTGGGCCTGGGACCCAGGACCCTGCATGGAGGAGTGGATCTGCAGCAGGTGCTCTTTGGCCATGCAGGGAGGATAGCCCCCAGCCACCAAAGCCTGGCTCCCTCCTTCCCAGTGCCCCTCAAGGTCTCCTACTGGCCCACATCCACCCCTCAGCCTCAGAGGCAGGCTGCTGTGCTGGACCAGTGAGGACCACAGCCCCCCTTATCATGAAGGGCTGAGCCTGCCCCAGAGGGAGTCACCAGCCCTTGGCAGGGCATGGGTGTGTGTGTGTGTATGTGTGTGTGGTATCCCTGAGAGCCAGCGGGGAAGGAGCAGGTACATGGACATGCAGAGCAGGAGGAAAGCTGTGCTTGCTAGTGGGGTGCAGGACTAGGGTAAACGTGTGTGGGCCCTGGAGTCTGCAGCACCCTAAACTGCTTGTGGCAAGCCACCATGAGACCAGCACCTCCCACTCCCTCTCCTGGTCCAGGGATGTGACCCGAACTCCTCAGTGCTCATGTGCAGCGGGGGCATCTGAAGTTAGAGGGCCCTTTCTGCAAGTGGACAGCTCACAGCTCAGGCCCCTTGTCCCCGTCTCCCGATCCCACAGCCACTCCATGGGGACTGGGGCCAGGATGCCAGAAGGTGGGTCCTCTGAGCCCAAAGCCAACCGTCACAGCCTACAGCTGCCCTTTGTGCCAGGGCCACCGAGCCAGCCGTGCAAAGCCCAGGAGCACAGCCACTCTTGCTCCTGGCCCTGTCTGCAGCAGTTTGATTCTGGCCTTGGTCCCACCACACTGCTGCTATGGGTAGAACAGATATACATGGTCCAAGTTCACAGTGGAGGTCAGGGAGGGCCCCCTCAGATCTCACTTGTCATGCTAGGTGGCACCCAGGCAGGTTCCCAGCAGCCGGCACATCCATGGGGGCTCTGGGAAGAAGTGAGGTGGCGAGCCCTGCCCAGGGCTCCTGGGAACGATATGAACCTGGCCTGGACCCTTTCTGTCCAGATATCACCTTGGCCCTTGTGGCTCCTGGCCTGTCAATTTGGGTAACTCAGGCTGTGCCCCTCGCAGGGGTCCAGAGCTGTGTGTGTGCTCCATACATGTGCTGGCTGTCATATGTGTGCTATCCATGTGGCCTGAGGACCCAGCATGGACTGCCATGCTTGAGCAACAAAAGGCCCACCTCTGTCTTGCAGGCCACACCACGGCTGGGAGCTGCAGTCTCTGCTCTGGGCCACCTGGCTCTCTGGCAGGGCCTCTGAGATGGTGGGTGCTGCACCCAGAGCCCTACAGAGCCTAGTGTCTCCGTGCTGGAACTGTAAGGTTCACGACCCCGGCACCTGCCAGTCCAGTGGGAGGAGCCCAAAGCCAAGCTCCTGGTTATATGGTCCCTCTCCTGCCTCCCACCGGAACTCCCTGTTTATGATTCCTCTCCGGAGAACAAACCCGCATGCCCACAGCCCTCTGAAGCCTAGGGCACAAGGAGGCCCGGATGTAGCCGACAGACAGCCTTGGCCCACCTGTCAACAGCCAGCTCCAGCAGATGTATGACTTGGCAGGTGCCCACCAGAAAGTGCTCTTGCACCCACCTAGGGGCCGAACGTCTCAGCGGGAGGGCTCCTTGTGTGGCACGCTATCCCGTACCCTGCTGTCCACAGGACCTGTACCCAGGGCTCCACCCAGAGTTCCTAAGGGCACACAGGTGACAGCTGGGAAGCACAAGGGCGCCTGGGCAGGGCTCCAGGTCCAGGCTGCCCCCATGTCCTCTGCAGGTGCCCCGGGAGAGGGCTGCAGGTGACAGTCCCTGCCCTGGTAGCGCGGCCAGCCCCCCATACCGCCCGCAGCCCCCGCGCCCACCCGGGCGAGACTCACGGCGGGGGCATCGGTCGAGGTGTAGCGCAGGATGACCTGGAAGGGCTGATGCGCCTGCAGCTCGGCCGGCAGCGTGACCGTGAGCGAGGAGCCATAGTCGGTGAAGGGGTCCAACCTGAAGGCCAGCGGGCAGCAGGCGGGCTCGGCGCCGGGTGTCTCGGGAAAGGCGGGCAGCGGGGGCGGCTGGGGCCCCGGCCCAGGGGTGGGAAAGGCGAAGGCGCAGGCCGTCTCGGAGGCGGGGGCGCGGCGGAAGGCGGCCGAGTGCAGGCGCAGGGCCG